TAGGAGAGAAACTGATCTTATTACTATTGACTCCAATCATTGCAGGATAAACAGATTAGCCACGGTTATGCTAACGGATTACAGACAAGCTTTGAGTCTACGTAGTTCTCTGTTTGGACTTAGAATTACATACAGAAGTTATGAGCTATGATTATCTTACCTGCTCTCATTCAATTACAGCCTCCGCCGCTGCAAACGAACGTGTAACCTGCGTGGGTGCCCGAAGAAACGGATTAGGGGCATCGGGAGTCATTAAAGTTGTCTCATTTTAAATTGGAAATGTTCCTGAAACATTACCAAGGATACATGCTGCAGAGAATCCAGTTTGCTAAGTCGGAAGCACAGACCAAGTGTTAAGGCTGAGAATCCAGTTTGCTAAGTCGGAAGCAAAATGGGACGTTACATACAGAAGAGACTGAGGTTTGAAGGGACTCATGGCCGAGGGTGGGGTCTATGTGCACTGACTGTAGCTCATCATTCCTTTCTGTCATTCACAACCTCCCCCAACCCCTTCCTTTCCTTAGCTTGCTTCAAAAAGTAGCATAAAGCATGGGGAATAACAGGGTCCCTAGTGACATTAGTTCTCTGTTTGAAATTAGAATTACATACAGAAGTTATGGGCTATGATTATCTTACCTGCTCTCATTCAATGACTGCTTGTAACTGGCTGTGACTTGGTCCCAGGCACCATCCCATAACCCTCCCCAGTCCTTACCTTTTCTGTTACCCATTCCTCTTTTCAGATGGCACTTCCACCCTTTTAGGGTTACGAGAACCAAAGAAGGTTCGTAAGTGAAACCAATCTCTGGGTTTATAAAGGAAGAAGAGATTCTAGAGTTTCTGTAGAATGAGGTGAAGGTGCATTAGTTTGTTGGGCAGGGTGATGTAAATCAGGGGTGTCTGACCTTTTGACTTCTCTGGGCCATAACTGGTGATGTGTCTTGGAGCACACGTTAAATACACAAAATACAAACAGGAACCTATGCGTACAAAAAAGATCTGTGTGTAATTTTCACAGTCTCCACCACTGCAGATAAAAGACCCCACATTGTAACAGTAATTATGAAGCATCCTGTACAGAAAGCAGGTCCCACGTTTGCTATCACTAATAAAGAAAACACACATACACACACACACATAATAAAAATTCACTGATTTATTCACTTATTATAAAAGAGGGCAGCATAAAACCAGTGGAAGATTCGATGGTTTACTGGAGAATGAAGGCACCGAGATCTCCTTTGATAGATGTAGTTGCGATTCTTGGCTGCGTTCTCAAACGGCTCATCAAATATTTTGTTCAAGTGTGTTCTATTCTTGAAAACAATTGCTCACATATATAGGTGCTGCCAAATGGGATGACCTGAAAAGGGTGTACTTGTGAAATAAAGGATATTTGTTTCTGTAAGGACGGAATCTATAATAAAGAGATACAACAGATTTTCCCTGCTGGGTGTGGTGCCGCACGCCTTTAACCCAGCACTGGGAGGCTGAGGCAGATGGAGCTCTGAGTTGGAATCAGCTTGGTCTACACAGCGAGTTCTAGGCCCCCTTGTCTCATTTGTTTTTCTTTAATTTGAATGTCATTGGCAATAATGGGCATTCTATTTGAAAATCAGCAGGTAACATGCTTAAGGCAATGAAAAATGGAGTCATAAATATACTAAAGTATCGATATTTTCCTGGACTGTATGAAATGTTTTAAAAATCTAATACCAAAAGATAGAGGTTACAATTTCGCCCCACAACATTCTGTTTAATCAATGTGTCAAAATCCAAACAATGTTGGCCTTAACTGGGGCTTGCCGTAATTTCAGTTTCCTTTGAAAGCTGTCGTGATTTGACATGCACTGAGAGTTGGTTTTCATCTTGACGACACATGCTTAACTCCTTTAAACAAGCAGTTAAATCCACTAAAAGATGCTAAACCTGTAAACCTGTTTTCATTGTCAAGTTCTGGCATAAATTTTGTTTTGATATCATAAAGGACTTGATAAATGTTAAAAGTCATAAATTTTTTAACATGTGGCCCCAGCTTAGCTGTCTTCCTTTTGAAGAGTGACACTGTTGGTCAGCACCAGTGACTTTAAGGCATTTCTGGAATGACAATGACTTCATGCTTGCTTCTGATGAGGTTCAGACTTGATGATGATTTGCATGACATTCTTATCCATGCTAAATGATCCTGTGCACACATTTTCCTGGTGTATTTTGCCATGATGCCCCATTAAATGTGAAATTTGGGTGGAAGTTGTATCATCTTTGATTAGTTTTATAAGTCCCTCTCTTTTATCTGTCATCAGCAGGACACCAACAATAACTACACAAGATATGCTGACAACGGATGATTATTGTTTAAACTTTCTTTACACGCATGAATGTTTTTCCTATATGTTTTTATGTACACCGTGTGTATGCTTGATGCCTGCAAAAGTCAAAACAAGACATCCAATCACCTGGAACTGAAATTGTGGATAGTTGTGAGCCACTGTGTGGATGCCAGGAACTGAACCTGGGTCCTCTGCAAGATCAGCACCTGCTTCCGCATATCTTATTGCTTCATATAAACCTCTCAATCTTGCTTTGTCCTTTAATACAGTTAAGGAAGCCATTTCTTCAATGGCGTTATATGACTTATCAATACCTCTAGTAAAAAAATGACAAGTTGAGTGGATTGTTAGCCTAGTGTGGTCATCTATCGCCAAAGTTACTTTTTTTTTTTTTTGGTTTTTTGAGACAGAGTTTCTCTGTATAGCCCTGGCTGTCCTGGAACTCACCCTGTAGACCAGGCTGGCCTCGAACTCAGAAATCCTCCTGCCTCTGCCTCCCAAGTGCTGGGATTAAAGGCGTGCGCCACCACTGCCCGGCTTAAAATCAGCTTTTCTATTCTTCAGAACTTTCAAGAGACTTTCCGGTTTCTTGAGTTTGCCTGACCGTAGTCTAGTGAGACAAGCTGATTTTAGAAATCTCTCCCTCCCTTTTCGGTGTGCATTATATCTGCCAAGATTTCCCTATATTACCTAACAAAATCACTCTCAGAAAACTATTTTGGCTTTTTTTTTTCTTTCCCCATTAAAGATGTGACCATATAACTAGCTTTTATGATAGAATTAGGGTTGTAACTTTTTTCTTTTTTTTTGGTTAAGGGGCTGGAGAGATGGCTCAGTGGTTAGGAGCAATTGTTACCCCGCCCCCCCCCGCCCCGGAGGACCTGAGTTTGATTCCCAACACCCACACAGTGGCCCACAACCATCTACAACTCCAGTTCCAGGGGGATCTGATGCCCTCTTCTGGCTTCCATGGGCACCACACAGAGATGAATCAGGCAAGCACTCCAACGATTCCCTGGGAATCTGAACAATCTCCTACAGGAAGCAGTGCCTATTATTTGCCTTAGCAACACCAACAGCAGCAGTCATCTGTCTCCTTTTTGTTGAGCAAACTTCTTTCTTTTGTAACTTTCCCATTTGGGGGTTTTGGTTTAGACACTGTAGAAGCCGTGCTAGGATTAACCAAGCAATAATAGATTAGGGGCTACATTTAATTTTATTATGAAAGTAATCGACAGGAAGACGGCAAAGCTTGGGGCAGCGGAGGGTGACTTGTAACGTGTGGCAGGCGATACATGGCGCGGCCGAGGGGCTGAACTACCTTTATTGCTCAGATGAGAGCACGTGTGTATCTTCTAACACCACACACCTGTCATTTACAGCTGTGGTGGAAGCACTTACCAGTGACCATGGGCACGGGACACCTGACGGCACACCGCACACGGGAAGCTGCAAACACTGTAAAACTACAGTCACAAATGTGTCCAAGTATCGAGGACATCATACATTTATTTTGCCGGACACTGTGACACGATGTTGCCATTTACAGTGTTTATACTTAAACATATAAGTTTAAAAAAAACAAAAACAAAAACGAAAACAAAAACAAAAAACAGGGTCGGGCATGGGGGGCACACACCCTTAATTCCAGGCAAAGGCAAGGGAATCTCTGTGAGTTTGAGGCTAGCCTGGTCTATAGAGTGAGTTCCAGGACAGCCAGTGCTACACAGAGAAATCCAGTTTTGATTCTGGCTTCCATGGGCACCACACTGACATGAAAAACCAAAACCAAAACTGGAAGGAAGGAAGGAAGACGGGGGGGGGGGGGGGGAAAGAAAGATTCTTATTGTTTTAAGTAAGTCAGTTTACAATTTTGTGTGTTTGGCTATACACACAGCTATCCTGGGCAAGCAGCCCCTTAGCTGTGTGTTGGACACCTCTAATGAATGTTTCATTTTTAAAAGATACAAATTGAGCTAGGCACGGTGGCACAGACTTACAAAGCCAGTGTCTGGGGAGTGTCACAGTGGGACACTGAGGACGGAGGTGATCTTTATCTTATCCATATTATTCAAAGTTTCACGTTCATGGAGAGAGCTATGACTCCTGCTGAGTCTGTGTCTTCCCCAGCACCTGTGTGATTGAGTGACTACGGCTTTTAGAACTTAAAACTGGTGGCTGTCCCTGTAGTACAAAGAAAGATTAAAAAAGAGAGAGAGAGAGAGAGAAACAGATTCTTTATACGATTTCTAATGTAGATAAGCAAGAAGAGAATCAATTTATAACAAAACTGTGTAAACGTCTGGCATTTTAGAAAGTGTTGATTTTCGTGTGTGCTCGTGTGTCTGTGAGTGTGCCTGCACACGTGGATGTCAGAGAGTAACTTTTGGAAGCAGGTTCGTCTTTCCCTTCTCAAGACAGGCATGCTTCTGCTGCTGCACTGATACTCCAGGGAGCTGGCTGGGGAACCTCTTAGGAAATTCTCCCATCTCCGCCTCCCATCTTGTCCTGGGACTACACTACAGGTGTGTACCGCCACAACAGCTCTGGGTTTCAGTGAGCAAACCCCAGACATCACACTGCATAGCCAGTGTTTCTACATGCCGGGCTACCTCTCTAGGCACTGGGTACTCACACACAAGGTGATTTATAATCTTATCACAAATATGATAACTTCAAACTATAGTTTATTTAGTAAAATATGTATTTTTGTTACAGGCATCAGAAAACAATCTAGTTTTATGAAGTAATTCAATATATACATAACAGAAAACAAACAAACTGCTTTCATTTTGCCGCAATTCCTCGCTTAAAGTCTCAGATGATACCTTACCTATGATATAGAAACATAGAAATAAATAACACGGTAGAAATGTCTTCAATGTCTCCAGGGTTTGATTCACCAAAAATAATAATAATAAATAACTCCTTCTGTACAAGCATGAAGTCTGAGATCGCGTCCTCTGCGTGTCTAACGCCCTCGTGCTAAATGACAGCTCTTCTTAAGTGATACTGGTTTTATTCACTGCTTTTGTCAGGAAGAATCTGCGTGATCCAATAATTAAAGAAAGCTGAGATCACTCTGGCATGGTCTGTAAGGCAAAAACAAGAGCAAAACGAACAAAAATAAAATAATAAATAGTAATTATTTTACAGGTTTTTAGCCCTTGGGCCCAGAGAAAACCCTGAAAGAATCTAATAAGCTGCTATCTTGGTGTACAAGCTGACGGAGATCCAGTGCAAACAGAAATGGAAAGAGAACAGGTGTTTGTGTCAAGGAAAGAAGAACCCTAAATAGTGTGGACCAGGAGCTGCGCAGCAGCCTGTGCCTTTCACGATGACACCCGTGCTGTGCCTGGACAGCCGGAACTCACCAGGGAGACGAGCACATCTCCAACATCCCCTGCCGACACTGCAGCTCAGGCCTTTTCTGAAACATCTGCTCTGTAGTCACCCTGCGCTGCCTGTGAATTCCGGGTTCCAGGTTGGACACACCTCCTAGAGTTTAGTTTAGGATAGCTCTACTTCTAAAGTTCTCAGCTACAGAGCATACAAGCTGACACTAAGACTGGTCTTAGAGAGTGGGGGCAGAGGGGACCCCTCTCAGGTCTGGTCAGACCTCAGTGCTGCCTGATGTGGTCCATTTGACCTTTACTTCCAAACTGTGTAGTATGTATTATCTGGGAGCTCTGGTGCTGAGGGAGGGGTCCAACCTTCCCTTTATTTCACACAAATACTTTTTGTTTTTTTGCTGATGGACAAGGTGTTTGACCTCTCCTTAGGTTTCTTGTTCTCCGTTTGGATAATGTAAGTAAACTTCCCCACAGTGACTCCAGGGGGAGCTGAGCGCAGACAGCCCTGCCTTATCCGTAAGCATCTGTGACACAGGTCGGCTCAGCGAACCCGCGCACAGAGGGCCCTGTGACATAGAAACAGGTTCATGTACAGGCTTTATTCCACCCACTACTCATGGCAAATGTGCCTGAAATAGAATCTGTCCAGTGATTGTAAGGCAGAGCCCGTGGCTTCACACTGTAGAGTCTCCCCCTGCCCACACTCTAGCTGCGTTTCAGGACACATAGAAAAAGTGATGGGACAACTGAGGGAAAATTAATTTCATCTCATAAAAAGTTCACATTAGTTTAACTTAACAAAACTAGCTTTATACAGTTTGCTTTTTAAGTTTTTAAAGAATGTTTTTTCGTGTGGTGGTGGTGGTATGTTGTGTGTGTGTGGTATGATATGTGTGGTATGTTATGTGGTGTGTGGTATGAAGTGTGTGGTTATATGGTGTATGTGTTGTGTGGTATGTGGTGTGAAGTGTGTGGTTATATGGTTTGTGTGGTGTGGCAAGGGGTGTGTGTGGTGTGTGTTGTTGTGTGGTGTATGTATTGTGTGGTATGTGGTATGAAGTGCGTAGTTACGTGTTGTGTGTGGTGTATTGTTATGTGATACATGTGTGGTGTGAAGCATGTGCTTATGTGGTATGTGGTATGTTATGTGGTGTGTGGTATGAAGTGTGTGGTTATGTGGTGTATGTGTTGTGTGGTGTGAAGTATGTGGTTATGTGGTGTGTGTGGTGTTGGATGGGTTGTGATGTGGTGTGTGTTGTATGTATGATGTGTGTGGTTATGTGTCTGTACCTTATGTGCACAGGCAGAGGTGAAGGGAGAGCCAGATGTCTTCCTCTATGGGTTCCCACCTTATTTCTTTAAGAGCTTTCCCTGAGGTGCAAGCTCATCATTTGGATAGGGCAGCTGGCCAGTCATCTCGGATCTGTGTATCTGCACTGTAGACATACAGGCACACGCAGGACACACAGGCATACACTCTCCTTCCTCCTCTGGTAGGTGGGAGCTGGG